TGGGTATAGGAAGAGAACTGGGACTGGCTGGGCAAAGGGACCAAAGCAGGAAGACAGCAGAGGCAAACTGAGCTGAGATAGAAAGAGTAGCTAAGAGCCGGTGTACACAAGAGAGAAAAATAGCAATGATATCATTTAAGACTGTGTAATGCATATGCACAAGCCTGAATCAAGGTTGTTTTTTTTTCAACTGTTGAGAGCTAGACTGTACAATGGTAGTAATGTTTCCTGAACAAAGCTTGTGTATATGCATGTGTCATTTTAAAGACATCATTTAGATCCCAGAACTATCCACTTGGAAACTGCACAGCCATGGGATAAAATCCATTTATCATGCACCTAAGTTCATGTGCTGTAGGCATGCAAAGAAAGATCATTACTGCCAGCTCAATACTAGATGCATATAAATGTGTCACTACATTTTGAAACACGTCTATAACCACTACGTAAAATCATTCATATTTAAAGCTACAACTACCCTGCATGTATGGAAATCCATTCCAAGGGCAGAAAGGGGCTCTTTCACAACGGCTTATCCACACCAAGGCATTTATACTAAAGTACAATCCTCTGATAGAAAAGTTTTGATGTCATCTCTTCAGTGTAAATGCATTCAAATGGACACCATTACACATGGGAAGCATGTGGTCAGCATTTTGGAGGTGCATCCCATGTGCATTTGCAAAGCTCTCACAACCCACCCACTGTCCTCATGGTACATGGCAGAAGGCGGCTTCTGGGTTCAAACTCCAGGGGTATGTCTATATATTCTCTGACAGCACACTCAAGGGAGTTGCTGAGAAATATGTTGTGCCCTCCTACCCCACATGTACCGAGTAGAAATGAGCTGGTGAGGATGTCCGCTGCGGTGCCCTCTACTGCCACTCTTGAGATCTCGTCTCCAGCAGGTATGAGAGTGATGGCTAAGGGTGCTGCCAGGGCATCTTTACTGCCTTACTTCCAGATTTGGTGCATGGAAACATGCAGGAACACAGAGGCCGGATATACTTCTCAGTGGCACTCTCAAGAATCCCATGGAAGTGGTACAGATATATGCTAAAAGTCCCATGAGGCTTCCCTCTCTTCCCCATGAGACTGGGCTCTCTTCAAGTAGACAGCACCGTTTTCAAACTCATAAAAGACTGTCATACATGAGACATCTCTGAATGCTATGCTGCCATAGGTCAGGAACATGCTGCAGTTTGCTTGGATGTCACCCAGAGTCCCACAGCTTTGCAAGTCACCCACCAATCTACCAAACTTAAATAGCTGGCGCAACAGCAGTTACAGCTTTCTCCTTCCTGCCTCCATTGCAACCTAGAGAACGGTAAGAACATAGATGAGGACACGGAGGATGACTGTGTTGCAAGGCACTTCAGTGCTCTGCGCCTATAAAGAGATACAGGTGCTGGATGCTGGGGCAACCGCAGTTAGTCAGCTGACTGGAAGGGGGCAGGGCCTGACCTATATATATAATCCAGGCTGAGGCTAGGGAGCAGTTCTCTGCTAGCAGCCATGGGAGAAGGAGCTCTGCTGGAGTAAGCAGAGCAGAGCAGCCTGATGGCCTGAGCTGTTTCTGTTCAAGGATACCAGGTGGAGAAAGCCCTGGTAGGGATTTGAATGATGGTTAGCCAGATGGCTTAGATTTTATGTTATAGCCCAGGAGCTTGAGTTTTCTGTTTGTAGTTTTTATAAAACTGGAGGACCGGGTGAGGCTATAAGGGGTTGGAGGAGACCTCATAGGGGCTCTACAGTAGTGTGGGGACCCCAGTGCTGGAGGGGGCACAACATTCAGGGGTGCACTGACCCCAGCCCTCAGAAGGGGCACAGAGGATTGGGGGGCCAGGTAAGGCTGAGGCTGCTGGAGCCCCACAGTAAATTTAAGACCTGAGGAGGGGATTTGGGAGCCAGGCATGGCTACAGCCACCTGAGGCCCAGTTGCGAGAAGCCCCAGAGTGGGCACGTGCGAGAAGCCCCAGAGTGGGCACTTGCTTTCAGACCCGAGGAGGGGATTCGGGGGCCAGGCACGGCTACGAGAAGCCCCAGCGCGGGCACGTGTGAGAAGCACCAGAGCAGGGAGCTCGCGACAAGCCCGGGAGCGGCAGTGAGGGGCGCGGGCGGTGCGACAAGCCCGGTAGCGCCAGCGCGGGCACGGAAAGGAAATCGACCAAACAACATCTGGGACATCTGCAAGGCTTGAGGTGTGGTACAGGGGTGGTTGGAGCCACACATAGCCCATAAGGCTGGGGTGCACCAAGTCAATCAATACAGAACAGGGGCCAGGATAAACCAGAGCGCTGTGTCCAAGGGGACAAACGGCAACCTCCCTTATAAAATACATAACATCAAAGACGTGGCGGGCGAGAACGAGGGTGCTTTATCTCAAACTTGGCACGGTAGGGGACGTTAGGAGAGATCACGGCCACTCCTAGGACCCTGCGCCGTGACAGACAGCAAGGAGAAAAACTGGGCTCAAATGAGTCCAGCCAGGTAGTCATCATGCCTCTTCTTAAAGATCTCTAGGGTAGGAGCCAGCACCATTTCCGTTAGAAGTTGGTTCCAGATCCTAGCCGCCCTAACTGTGAA